AGATTGGGGGAGGGGTTAGAGAGTTGGGTGGGGGGAATGGATGCTGCAAGAGGGGTTAGAGATTGGGGGGGGGGTTAGAGAGTGGGGTGGGGGGAATGGATGCTGCCAGAGGGGTTAGAGATTGGGGGAAGGGTTAGATCATGGGGCAGGGTTAGTGATTTTGGGGGACCTGCAGTGGGAATGTCACTTGGGAATGGCCTTAAACTCTCATCGCATCTCCTGGTGAAAGATCTCTTCATGTTCCTCCAGACTCTCTTTCACCCTCCTCGTGCCCCCCAAATTTCTTCCAGCCCCACAACTTTCACAGATAGGAACCCAGAAACGGGAGTAGTCACCTCTAAACCCTCTCTGTATTCAAAATCATGGCTCATCATCTACCTCAACACAGCACAGGAACAGGCCCTTCGGCCCTCCAAGCCTGCACCAACACATTTTGCCCTTTTATGTTAAAACCGTCTTCACTTACAGGATCCGTATCCCTCCACAGGTATATCTGCTATAATGCGTGTTTTGTTAACGTGAATTGGCTATTGTTTGGGTATTGCAAACTTTCTACTGTATAGGTATAGCAATTTTCTATAGCAATTTCCCTATAACGCGAATTTCTATAGCGCGAGGTCACACAGGAACTCAAATATCGCATTATAAGAGAAATACCTGTATTCCCTTCCTATTTATATATTCATCCAGGTGATTCTTGAATGCTGCTATTGTGCCTGCTTCCACGCAATGCGTTCCAGGCATTCACCACCTTTTGTGTGAAAAACTTGCCCCTCACATCTTTTTTAATCTCCCCCCTCGCACCTTGAACCTGTGTCTCCTAGTAATTAACCCCTCCACCCTCCACTCTATCCATGCCATTCACAATCTTATAAACTTCTATTAGGTCACCCCTCAACCTCCTGCATTCCAGTGAAAACAAACGCAGTCTAGCCAATCTTTCTTCATAGCTAAAATCCCCCAAACCAGGCAACATCCCAGTAAACCTTTTCTGTACCCTCTCTAAAGTATCCACATCCTTCTGGTAGTGTGGTGACCAGAACTGTACATAATATTCCAAGTCTGGCCTAACTAAAGTTCTACAAATCTGTAGCATAACTTGTGTATCCTTATACTCAATGCCCCTTCCAATGCCCCTTCCAATGAAGGCAAACATGCCATAGGCCCTTTTTACTACCTTATCTATCTGTGTTGCCACCTTCAGTGATCTGTGGACTTGCACACCCAGATCCCTCTCCATATCAATACCCTGCCATTAACTGTATAATTTCCACCTGTACTCAACCTTCCAAAATGCATCACCTCATATTTGTCTGGATTAAACTCCATCTGCCATTTTTTTGCCCATGCCTCCAACTAATCTATACCCAGCTGTATCCTCTGACAATCCTCCTCACTATCTGCAACTCCACCAATCTTTTTATCATCCACAGTTACTAATTAGACCAGCTACGTTTTCCTGTAAATCATTTATGTAGATCATGAACAGCAGAGCTCCCAGCACTGATCCCTGTGGAACACCACTAAATCATAGCCCTCCATTCCGAAAAGCATCCTTCCACCGCTACCCTCTGTCTGCTATGACTAACCCAGTTCTGTATCCATCTTGCCAGCTCACTAATACCATGTGACTTCACCTTTTGTACCATTTTGCCATGAGGGAACTTGTCAAAGGCTTTACTGAAATCCATGTGGACAACATCAACTGCCTTTCCCTCATCAACCATATTTGTCACCTCAAAAAACTCGATCAAGTTAGTGAGGCATGACCTACCTAGCACAAAACCATGCTGTCTATCGTTAATAAGTCCATTTGCTTCTAAATGCATATAGATCTTGTCCCTGAGAATCTTTGCCAGTAATTTCCCCACTACTGACGTGAGACTCACAGGCCTATAATTTCCAGGATTATCCCTACTATCCTTCTTAAACAATGGGACAATACCGGCTGTTCTCCAGTCTTCTGGGACCTATCCTGTAGCCAAAGAGGATACAAAGATGTCTGTCAATACTCCAGCAATTTGTTCTCTTGCCTCCCTCAATATTCTGGGATAGATCCCATCAGGACATGGGGTCTTATCTACCTTAATACTTTTAAGATACATGACACCTCTTCCTTTTTAATAGCACTTTGGCTTAGAAACTCAACACTTCCTTCCTTGAAATCATCCTCCATTAATTCCTTCTCTTTGGTGAATACTAACACAAAGTATTCGTTTAGGACCTCACCTACCTCTTCTGGCTCCACACACAGATGCCTTCCTTTGTCCTTGAGGGGCCAACCCTTTCCCTGGCTACCCTGATGCTTTTTATATGTGTATAAAAAGCCATTTCCCTACAATATCCCCATATCCTTTAGTGTTATTCATATCTAGAAATCTATTCAACCTTATTCATGAACATTTTCTGTGATTGAGTTTCCACAGCCCTCTTGGGTAGAGATTTCCAAAGATCCACCGCCCCTTGTTGCAGCTGTACGGGACGTTGGTTAGGCCACTATTGGTATACTACATGCAGTTCTGGTCTCCCTGCTACAGGAAGGATGTTGTGAAACTTGAAAGGGTTCAGAAAAGATTTATAAGGATATTGCTGGGCTTGGAGGGTTTGACCTATAGGGAGAGGCTGAATAGGCTGGGGCTATTTTCCCTGGAGTGTCAGACGCTGAGGGGTGACCTTATAGAAGTTTATAAAATCATAAGGGGCATAGATAGGGTAAATAGACAGGGCCTTTTCTCTGGGGTGGGTGAGTCCAAAACTAGAGAGCATAAGTTTAAGGTGAGAGGGGAAAGATTTAAAAGGGACCTGAGGGGCAACATCTTAATGCAGAGGGTGGTATGTGTATGGAATAAGCTGCCAGAGGAAGTGGTGGAGGCTGGTACAATAACAACATTTAAAAGGCATCTGGATGGGTATATGGATAGGAAGTGTTTCGAGGGATATGGGCCAAATGCTGGTGAATGGGACTACATTTATTTAGGATATCTGGTCAGCATAGACGAGTTGGACCGAAGGGTCTGTTTCCATCAATATATCTCTATCTTTGAGTGAAAATAATTCTCCTCTTCTCAGTCCTAAATGGCCTGTTCCTCATTCTGAGACATTGTCCTCTCGGTCTCGACCCACCTGCCTTTGGAAACATCCTGCATCCATTCTGTCAAGCCTTTCAAGAATTTTGTTAAGTTTCAATGAAGTTAACTCCTCATTCCACTAAACTCTAGAGAATACACATCCAGTCTCCTCAGTTTCTCCTCATAGAACAGCCCCACCATCCCAAGAATCAGTCTGGTGAACCTCAACTACAATCCCTCCATGGAGAGTGTATCCTTCCTTAGGCAAGGGGGCTTAAACTGCACACAATACTCTACGTGGCGTCTGGCCAATGTTCTATACATTTAAGGCAAGACATCTTTACTCCTGTACTCCAATACTCTAGCGATAAAGGCCTTCTAAATTGGGCGGAGTACAATGAAGATTTACAAGAACAGGATACCTGGATGTCAGGGGTTAAATTATGAGAAGAGACATTACACAAATTAGGCTTGTTTTCTCTGGAAGGTTAAGGGCTGATCTGGTCGAAGTCTTCAAAGTATTAACAGGACAAGACAGGGTTGCTAAAGATAAACTGTTTCTACTGGTTTGGGATTCTAGAGCTAGGGGTACAGTCTGAGAATTAGGGCCAGAGATATTAGGAAGCACTTCTAAACACAAAGGGTGGCGGATGTTTGGAACTCTCTTCCACAAACAGCAAGTGGATGCTGGATTATTTGTTAATTTTTAAATCTGAGATAGATAATTTTTTGTTAAGCAATGGTATTAAGGGATATGGGCCCAAGGCAGGTACATGGTGTTAGGCCACAGATCAGCCACGATCTCATTGAATTGCAGAACAGGGTCGAGGAGCTGAATGGCCTATTCCTGTTCCTGTGTTCCAAATTGCTTGCTGCACCTGCACATTCACTTTCAGACACCCAGATCTCTGTACTCCTGTAATTCTGACATCTTGTACACCTCCCAACTTTAGTCACTCTACCCTCAGCAGCCACTTTAGCTACTGGATACTGAGTTCCAGAATTTGCTCAGCAAACTGCTCCAATTCACCACCTCGAAGAAGACTCACCCGAGAAAGTGTCCCTAACCAAGCCCTGTCCTAATATCTCCTCAAATCAAATCGCTTTCAAATCCTGTTTGTCACACCGCTCTGATGTTTTTCTTCTGTCAAAAGGACACTATATAAATGCAAGTTGCTGAATGGCAATTACATCTGAATTGTCAGCAGTTAGTGAGTGGGTTGTGTATCTCTGACCATTCAACACTCAATTTGGGTTATACAATTTTCAGAGAATGTATAATTGTGCTCTGTGACCCTGTAATTGCTGTACATTGGCATGTAGTTTGTCTGCCTGGAGTTTGTATGTTGTGATTTTGATTGGGTCTGTATTGCCTGAAGGTGAAGCAGGGTTTTCCAATTGTTCTGGATGTAATTCCAGTGTTGGTCTAGCCTCCTGTAGATAAGCCTTTGGTGTCTGTACATCAACACTACCCCCTGCTGTTCTCTGGTGAGGCAACTTGTTTTGTGGGCAGTCATATTAAATCCAAGTGTCATCTCCCGGATATGAGTGATGACCTCTTGGAGACTTTGAATTTCAACTTGCGTTTCACCCTCTTGTCTAGTTGTTATAGCAATGACCTGCCCTTATTATACCTGCTGTGTTTTTTTTTTCAGAGGCAGTATCACCTGGCACTCGGCACTCCCCTCAAGGTGTCAGGAGTCCAGACGCTTGCGGAAAACTTGACCCTCAAGATGTCGAGGTACAGTGTAACTTCTTAATGTCCTCTCTTCCTCTTCGGCGTTCCCTCAGGATGGACGACCACTTGCCTCCCCACTAAGCCCAGAGGCCTCTGAGACTCGTAGAATCCCTACAGTGTGGAAGCTGGCCATTTGGCCCATTGAGTCCACACCAACCCTCTGAAGACCATCCCACTCAGAGCCACCGCCCGACCCTATCCCTATAACCCTGCATTTCCCATGGCTAACCCATCCAGCCTGCACATCCCTGAACACTACAGGGAAATTTAGCATGGCCAATCCATCTAACCTGCACATCAACAGCTTGATTATCAAGGTGATCAAGGGTTACGGGGAGAAAGCGGGAGAATGGGGTTGAGGAACTTATCAGCTATGATTGAATGGCGGAGCAGACCCGATGGGCTGAATGGCCTAATTTCTGCTCCTATGTCTTATGGTCTTATGGTCTCATCTTTGGACAGCTGAGAGTCAGTGTACTGTCTGCAGATTCTGCCACACATGGGGCTGAGGGGGTTGGGGTTGTGCACTCCCTTCATTCCCCTGAATCCCTCCCTGCACGTTCCTGATAAGTGTCCAGTCCCTTCCTGAACAAGCCTTCTCCGTCTGGGCTCAGTCACAAGGCTGGAGACTCCCAGGAGTCGCAAAATGGCGGAGCAATGGACCTCTTTGGGAAGCTTTGAGGACATCCGTGAAATGTTTCCTCCGTCGCCCTGGGAGCCTGTTGCCATGACAGAGTTCCAGGCAGAGTCTGGTGTCAGGCACAAGATCGCCATGACCCCTCACAAAATCACCAGTTTTATTGATGCAGGACTGCTCGGGTAGAACAATAGGACCTTGTTACCTAAGATGGCGACTTGTAAATTTGTCACTGTGGGTACATGTGACAATAAAGCTAAATCTAATTCTATAAGAAATCTCTGGGCTCTGAAACCATAAAGGATGTGAAGAGCTGGGATAAGGAAATAAGATTCAGGAGGGGAAGAGGAAGACGGCACAGAAACAGGCCCTTCGGCCCAACACGCCCAGGTTTCCCAAACCGAACTAGTCCCATTTGCCTGTGTTTGGCCTATATCACTCTAATCCTTTCCCACCCATGTACCTGTCCAAACACAGTGGGGCAAAATGGTTATGGGGGTATAATGCAGAGGGAGCTTGCATGAAAGAGAGCAGTGAATCTGTTGAAGAGTCTGGGTGTGGTACAGCAACAAAGGTTTTGGAAGATGGGGGCAAGGGTTAGGTTAGGTCACCCAATAGACAAGGCCCAGGAATCAGCAGAACTGGGCAGTGAGCAGGGTCCTTGCAGAGTCCAGCCGTGACTCAAAACATTAGCTTGCTCTCTCCACGGATGTTGCCTGACCCGCTTTGATTTCCAGCACTTTTTGTTTTCAGCACAGATTCCAGCTTCTGCAGTAATTTGCTGTTACCTAGGGCCCTTGAAATCTCTGGAATGTAGGGTCATTGCAATCTGCTACGTTTCAGTGGGTAGCATTCTCACCAGGGGTTGTGTCCGAAGTCAAGGTCAAATCCCAGCTGCCACTTGCAATTTAGTACGCAGGGAATGCTACACTGTCAAAGGCGCTGTCTTTCAGATATGACGTTAAACCCAACCCCCCTCTGGCCTATCTGACGGACCTGTAAGTTCCCACGGCTTTTATTTTGAGAGAAAGCAACAGTCACTGTCCGCAATGACCAGGCCAAGGTTTATCTTCAAAGCAAAACATGGTTTTGAGCTTTGTTCTTACATTTTAGGGGTTTACCTCAAAATTTCTCAATGCAGCCCTCTCTGATGCGTTACCCAGAAGGAGTTAGATTTAGATCTTATTGTCACCTGCACTCAAGTACAGGAGTACAGTGAAACGTGTACAATGTCACCACACACACTGCCATCTTAAGTACAAAAGTTCACAGGTGTGGAAGTATGAAAGAAATAAAGTTTTAAAAGTTAGGCGTTACCTTCATAGCATGAGTTAGATTTAGTTCTTAGGGCTAAAGGGATCAAAGGGTGTGGGGGGAGAAAACAGGACCAGGGGACTGAGTTGGATGATCAGCCATGATCATATTGAATGTGGGAGCAGGCTCAAAGGGCCGAATGGCCTCCTCCTGCTCCTGTTTTCTTTGTTTCTATGTTATTACGTTGTGTAGCTTGTGGCACCTGCAGCTCTCTCTGTCACAGGGTACCTGTTGCCCCAGGTTAGCCCTCCCTCTTTCTCAACCTAAAAGGTGCGTGTTCACGATTGCAAACTGGAGTCAGAGAGGAGCTGTATAGAAGCAATGCAACTAAGGCCCAACTCTCACATCACTACTCTCTCTGCTTTCTCACCTCCCTGCTCAGATCAGTAAGCTCTATAACGGACTGATGGTCGCTGCCCTGGAGAATTACAGCCCAGTGGCCAAAGTGGGCATTTTTCTGAAGGCCGGGAGTCGATACGAAGTCGCTGGCAACTTGGGCATCACTCATTGCCTCAGGGTGGCATCCAACATGGTGAGTATCCTCTTTACAGTGGAATTTAAATTCAATTAATTAACAAGTGTGGAATTAAAGGGTAGTGACAGTGTTGGTGACCATGAAACTATCAGCAATTGTCATAAAATTAACCACCCCACCCCCGCTCCACCCCGGTTCACTAATAAAGGGAAGGAAAACTGTCATCCTTACCGGGCCTGGCCTACATGTGACTGCAGACCCATAGTGACGTGGCTGACTCTTAACAGCCCCGCTGAAATGACCACTCAATCCAAAGGGCGGTTAGTGACAGGGAAGTAATTCTGGCCCAGCCTGAAATGCACACATCCCGTGAGAGCATGCAATGTACAAAGACACTGTGTGCTGTGTAACATCGGTGAGAGTGACAGAGGTGGGAGCTGACAAAGGCTCTTGGGGTGGTGGGGGCAGGAACACTGGGAGGTGTCAGATGGGCTGAATGGCCTGTTCTACACAGCATGACTTGATTTGCTGTGCCGTTGGTGAACAGGGCTCCCCCAACACCTGCCGGTCAAGCATGTGCCTTGCCAATGGATAAAAGCTGCGCTCCTACTAACCACAATTGGTGCCACTGTTGCCATTGGCCTTGATTCTTTATTGTCAGAAGTAGAGATCTAGCACCATCCATGTCACCCCTTTAAAGGGGCCATGCTAAGGGATAGGTCATAGATTTCAATAAGATATTACCTTCTCTCTATATCCTTTATGTCCAATACAAGTGTGAGGACTAGGAAAGATTTGGGGGAAGACAGTGGTTTCACATTACTATCGTCGAATAAATAATCCAAAAACCCAGGACTTTTACTCTGAAGATAAAGGTTCAAATCCCATCATGGCAACTGGTGGAATTTAAAACCAATTCATAAATTTTCCTTGGAGGCTAAGGGTGACCTTATAGAAGTTTATATAATCATGAGGGGCATGGATAGGGTGAATAGCCAAGGTCTTTTTCCCAGGGCGGGGGAGTCCAAAACTAGAGGGGTATAGGGTTAAGGTGAGAGGGGAAAGATTTAAAAGGGACCTGAGGGGCAACTTTTTCATGCAGAGGGTGGTGCTTGTATGGAATGAGCTGGCAGGGGAAGTGGTGGAGACTGGTACAATTACAATATTTAAAAGGCATCTGGATGGGTATACGAACAGGAAGGGTTTAGAGGCATATGGGCCAAATGCTGGCAAAAGGGACTAGATTAATTTAAGATATCTGGTCAGCATGGACAAGTTGGACTGAAGAGTCTTGTTTCTGTGCAGTACAACTTTATAACTCTATGACTCTAAATCTGGAATTGAAACCAAATCCCTATAACTTTGGCTTGGAAATTGTCGTAAAATCCATCTGATTCACTAATGTCCTTTACAGAAGAAAATCTCCCATTCTTACACAGTCTGGCTTACATGTGACTCCAGACACACAGCAATGTGGTTGATTGTTAACTACCCTCTGAAATGGCCTACAGAGCTTCTCAGTTCAAGGGCAATTAGAGATGGGCAACAAATGGCTGGCCTTGTTGGTGACACTGAGATCCCTTGAAAGGGTAATAAAACACAGCAGGTCTGGCAGCATCTGTGAAGGAAAAAACAGAGTTAATGTTTCGGGTCCGGTGACTCTTCCTCAGAACGTTAACCCTGTTTTTTCCTTCACAGATGCTGCCAGACCTGCTGAGCTTTTCCAGCAACTTCTGTTTTTGTTCCTGATTCACAACATCCGCAGTTCTTTCGGTTTTTATTAAAGGATAATAAAAAGCTGACAACTCCTTATGGCACCAATCGATAATAAAACACAGCAATGAGGTGAGGATTGGTTAGAGCTTGCTTGCAAAGGACTCCATAGCCTGTCAGCTGCCCTTCAGTTTGGCATGATGTCCACTCAGTGGCCTTTCCTGTGGTTAAAATAGGCCCGTTTCTGACTGCTGACCATTGAACACATAGGGCTGGATGATCACCGGTACGGAGGGATTGTCTTCTGAGGTTAAAAGGTTAAATTGATGGGACTATAAAGGTAAAGATGATCAAGGGGCTGCTGCCCTGTTAGAGAGAGATGCTGTGGTGATTTAACCTGAGGGTCACCAGGCCTCAGCGAGAGCAAAAGCTGTGAAGGAGAGTCCTTCATGGTAACCTCGTGGTAACAGGTTGGGACTCTACTCACTGAAGTTTAGAAGAATGAGAGGTGATCTCATATTGAATTCTTAAGGGGCTTGGTAGGTCAATGCTGAGAGGATGCTTCCCATTATGGGAGAGTCTAGACATACCCTCAGAATAAAGGGGTGCCAATTTAAGACTGAGATAAGGAGGGATTTTTTCTCACTGAGAATTGGGAGTCTTTGGCACAGAGATCTGTGTGGGCAGAGTCCTTGTGTAATGTGAGGAGTGTAGGATCAACCTTGATCCTATTGAATAGCAGCTCAAGCTCAAGGGGCCAAATGGCCTACTTCTTATGGTCTTATGGATATTCCATGAGAAAATGGGATCCGGAGAGAAGGATTTACTTCCTTTCCTTCCCTCCTCTGCTGCTGCTCTGCCTTGTCATTAAGGGATTTGAACTCAAAGCATTTCATCAATCTCTTCCCATGCAGCCAGCTTTGACAAAGCAGAGATAGTAGGAACTGCAGATGCTGGAGAATCTGAGAGAACAAGGTGTAGAGCTGGATGAACACAGCAGGCCAAGCAGCATCAGAGGAGCAGGAAGGCTGACGTTTCGGGCCTAGACCCTTCATCAGAAAACAAAGAACCCTTCCAGGAGTCAGCCAAATGATATCTCTTTTTTTCTTCATCATTCTATAACAGATTATGGTCTTCCCTCAATTTCCTTTACACTTTACGAGTGGTCAACCTGTAAATGATAAAGTAACATTTCCTGCTCTGAACCTGTGTTTGCAAAGATCATTACAGATTCCGTTTGAATGTGTAAATATATATTTTAAAACCTATTTGATCCAGAGTGTGTCGTGCTGAACAACTGAATAATGCTCCTAAGGGGGTCATTCCAAGGGACAGAATTTTTCTTCAATCATACACAGGATGAGGGTGTCACTGGCTGGTTCTGAATTTATTACCTGTCCCTAATTGCCCAGAGGGCAGTTAAGGGTCAATCCCATTGCTGTGGGTCTGGAGTCACAAGTAGGCCAGGCCAGGTAATGATGGCAGTTTCCTTCCCTAAAGGACCTTAGTGAACCAGATGGGTTTTTCCTGAAAATGTGTCACCATTAGACTCTTAATTCCAGATTTTTATTGAATTCAATTGCCACCATGCTGTGGCAGTGTTGGAACCCAGATCCCCAGAACATTACCTAGGTCTCTGGATTTATTGTCTGGCGATAATACCACTAGGTCATCACCTCCCCACTGATGCACTGAGGTAGCGCACGTTTTTTTCAAGGCCGTCAGAAATAGAGATCTTTCGGTTAAAAAAAATGAAATATGCTAATTTAGTCTCCTCCTTTGGGGTAGCACGGTGACACAGTGGTTAGCACTGCTGCCTCACAGCGCCAGGGACCCAGGTTTAATTCCAGCCTTGGGCGACTGTCTGTGTGGAGTTTGCACATTCTCCCCGTGTCTGTGTGGGTTTCCTCCAGGTGCTCCGGTTTCCTCCCACAGTCCAAAGATGTGCAGGGTAGGTGAATTGCCCATGCTAAATTGTCCGTAGTGTTCAGGGATGTGTAAGCTGGGTAGGTTAGCCACAGGAAATGCAGAATTACAGGGATAGGGTGGGGAGATGAGTCTGCGTGGAATGCTGTTTGGAGGGTTGGTTTGGACTTAATGGGCCCAATGGCCTGCTTCCACACTGTAGAGATTCTGTTTTTTCACATGTCCCCTCATCCTGGAGACTGGACTAAGCTGTAAGTCCTGTCTGTGATGAGCTCTCAGAGCTGAGGCGTGACCGGTATAGATGCTGTACCACATGGTGCATAACTAATGTACTAATATCCCTGGGTCATCTAAATGTGGTACACTGACTTTGTTCATTTGAAGATCTCTGGTATTTTTACATACAGCTAAGTTAATAGATACAATATAGAGTAAGCATCAAACACAGCCTGTGCCTGGAATGTTACAGTGCAGAGAGCCTGTGGCAACATCTGGGGAAAATAAAAACTGAAAGAACTGTGGATGCTGTAAATCAGGAACAAAAACAGAAGTTGCTGGAAAAGCTCAGCAGGTCTGGCAGCGTCTGTGAAGAAAAGATCAGAGTTAACACTTCGGTTCCAGCTCCTGTTGAGCTTTTCCAGCAACTTCTGTTTTTGCAACACCTGGGGAGTTGGCTTATTTGCATGTTGAACACTTAAAGAGGTGTCTCTCCAATACAATTGAATCTCCCAACTAGACAATCAAATACTGGGACCAGCAGATACAAACCTCACCATAGTTCCATCACCATGCTAACTGTACAACGATATCCTTTTACAGACCTCCAAGAGAGCCAGTCCATTCAAACTGTCCCGTGCGATTGAAGCTGTTGGGGGAAACTTATGGTAAGCACTTCTCTCCCTTAAACTGGGCTTTAATGCATTTTCTGACAAATGAAGCTGGATTCTTCTCCTGCCTCAGTTGTCAAATGCACCATGTATTGTGTTGTTAAACCAGACGGACTGGCCAGGCCAAGGTGGGCTGTTCAAAACTCGTCCTGTGCTGCCTATTATTTCTCCTGTACAAGGTCTCAAATTGCTGTCTGCAATTCACAGACGTCTCCATTACGACATTATGCAGGCAACAACCACTGGAGAATGACACCAAGTTTGTGTGTGTGTGTGTGACCCTCGGCATGAAAAAGTTACCCCTAGGTCCTATTTAACTTTTTCCCCTGTCACCTTAAATCTATGGCCTCTAGTTTTGGGCTCCTCTACTCTTGGGAAAAAGACCTTGGCTATTCACCATATGACTGCCCCCCATGATTTTATAAACCTCTATAAGGTCACCCCTCAGGGAACTGCAGTACTCCCCCATGTTAAAAGACTGAATGTGTAGGTCCTGCTGTGAGCAGGAGGCATCCTCATTCTCAGGGACCATGAGAGATGCACACATTATCCAAGCAAGTGCATAGTCAAGGTATCAGCATGTCTTTATTTTCACTGTGTCTTCTTCTCTTCCTGCACTGCCTGGCCATCTGGCAGCTGTTGGGTATCAGACTTGAGAAAAGGCCAGGCTGTGGGAAAGGGAGACGGGAGAACAGAGGGGAGGTGCATAATTCCACTGACAGATTCAGAAGAGATTGTGGGGTGAGCCAGGGAGTTGGAAGGGGGACATGAGGAGGATTGAATCACAAAGATACCCTCAGCTTCCACATCTTCAGCCAACACCCCCACCATCCCGGCAACAACCTGTGCCTTAATGACCCATGCCACCTCCACCAGACGGGGCAGAGTGAGTGGGCATACCTGGCACCTGACGGTCATGTGAGGTCACCTCTTAGTCTCCAATGTTCCAGGGAAAAAAGCCCCAGCCTATTTAGCCAAGACCTAGGTCTAACCGACCGGCTACCAGTTTGAGGCTTGCTGACATCGACAACATGATACCAAAAACCAAAGAAGAATTATGAGGGGACAAAGGAAGGGTGCGAGTGAGTAACACGGACCATCGGGCACTTTTATGACCACCCGGTCTCCGTGGTCCAGCTGCTGTAGTTGATTTTTCAGGAGGTCTTATCTGAATATTTGCAGAGCGGGATGTGAAATGAACATTAGTGTTTGTTTGGTGGCCGTCCCATGGAACCACCATGGGGATGGCCGCTTGTGTTAGCAGAGAGCTAGTGGTTCCTAGGCATCTGTGACTAGGAAATAAAAGGCACAGCTACCGTTGTGAAAGTTGGGGGATTACAAAGCCAGGGTGACCAAGCATGACTCACAAACTGTAATTAGTGAAGATAGACAACAGTACCTCCTCCAAGATAATCCTCAACACCGACACCCCACAAGGCTGCGTACTCAGCCCCTTACCATACTCCCTGTACGCACATGACTGTGTGGACAAATTTCATCCTAACTGCATCTACAAGTTCGCTGATAACACCTACACTGTAGGTCCGAAATCAAACAATGATGAGACAAATCACAGGAAAGAGATAGAATGCTTGGTGGGATGGTGTAAAAATAACAAGCTCTCCCTCAATGTCAGCAAAACTAAAGAGCTGGGCATTGAGTTCAGGAAGCAAGGACGACGACACGCCCCTGTCTGTATCAGTGGTGCTGAGGTGGAGATGGTCTACAGCATCAAGTTCCTGGGAGTGATGATCACCAACAATCTGTCCTGGTCCATCCACATCAACACGATAGTCAAGAAAGCATAACCGTGCCTCTACTTCCTCAGGAGGCTAAAGAAATTCGACATGTCCATAATGACTGTTACTCATTTTTATAGATGCACGACAGAAACCATTCTGCCCAGATCCATCACAGCTTGGCGTAGCAACTGTGCAGCCCAGGACTGTAAGAAATTACAGAGAGTTGTGAGCACAGCCCAGTGCATCCCACAAACCAGGCTTCCATCCTGTGACTCTGTCTACTCTTCACGCTGCCTCAGGAAGGCTGTTATTAGACTGCTGAATGAACCTCTCAAATTTCAAATCTAATGTTGATCTTCCATTTTGTGCACCTTCTCTCCAGCTGTGATATTGTATTCCTCACTCTGTTCTATCGCTGTATGAACTTTGTATGGTATGATCCGCCTGTACTGTGATGAAGCTGTCACTTTAAGAGGTTATTTTGTCCTGGTTTTGTGTTAAGAGAGAGGTTGTAAGGTAGAGGTGCTGAACTGGCTACTAGAAGATGTTTTAAGTCAACAACTTATGAGGCCTTTAGGTTTTCTTTTAAGTTAGAACAATGGAAGCAGCCTGAATGGGTGTGGCCAGCTCTCACAGATCCAGATTTCTGGGTTTTGGTTTTTTCAGTAACTCAGAAGCCTTTGGGGTCTCAGAAGAGTTGGAAGCTTCAGTGAATGTCTGCTAGCTGCTATTCTCTCTTGAATTTTCTCTTGATTTTTTTTCCTCCTGGATGGGAGAACTGCATGTGAGAATCTGTGTCTGAATTCATCTTTTTGCCAAGAGGTGTGTTACTTTGTTGGAACAGTTAATCAGTAATAGGTATCTATTATTTTGGTTAAGTTTTCCAATAGCTAAGTTATTCCAAGTACCTCTTTCTTTTGTTTGTATTTTAACTATAATGTTTAAATAAATTGTGCTTTGCTTAATGATGAGTAGTTTGACCAGTCACATTGCATCTGGAACACAGCACTTCATGTCTACCTTTAAAATAAGAAAATGTTAGTGTCTGGGCAACCTTCTTAAAATATTTTGAGGGGGTTTGGTCTAGTCCATAGCAGTACTGCATGCAAAACAAAACTTTTCACTATACTTAGGTATCTGTGACAATATAAATCAAATCAAACAGAATGATTGGGATGGTTTCTATTGCACTAACATTTCTGTCTGTGCTTTCTTCAGGGTGACTTCGACGAGGGACGTGATGCTATATACTGTGGGATGTATGCGCGACTCTATGTGAGTAAGGAGTCTCAACCTGAGAGCTGATGGCATTACAACCCACAGGAACGTCCTCCCAATTCCTCCATCAGGGGCAGGGCTTTCACTCAGAAAAGGACATGGGAGTATTCTGTCCGCTCGATGGAATATCCTTTAGTCAGTCTGTTTGTGTTAAAGAGCTGCTCGTGGACAACAGCTGCATAAAAATAGAGCAGGAGTGGCCATTCGGCCCCTTGAGCCTGTTCCCCCATTCAATATGATCATGGTTGATTCTGTTCCTGCTTTCTCCCCCACACCTTTTGATCACTTTAGCCCTAAGAACTATGTCCAACTCCTTCTTGAAAGCATTCATTGTTTGGCCTCAGCCTCTTTCTATGGCAGAGAATTCCCCAGACTGCCCACTCTCTGGATGAAGACATTTCTCCCCATCTCAGTCCGAAATGGTCTACCCCATATATACAGACTGTAACCCTCCCCTCCTCCCTGCACCCCCCCCCAGTTCTGGACTCCCTGGTCATCAGGAACATCATTCCTGTGTTTATTTATCCTGTTTAATCCTATTGGAATCGTCTAGATTCCTATGAGATTCGCCCTCATTCTTGTAACTCCAGTGAATATGGTCCTAATGATCCAGTCTCTCCTCATGTGTCAGTCCTGCCATCCCAGGAATCAGTCTGGTAAACCCTTGCCTACGTTCCCTCCATTGCCAGAACATCCTTTCTCAGACAAGGAGACCCTGTCCTTCTGGATAGAAGTGGTTGTGGATTTTATATTAATATGTCACAGTGGCATTGAATGAGAAATTTGGCATTGGGTGACATAAAGAGGTATGCAGTGGAGGAAAACCCCTGATCGGTGAGGCAGGTTTTAAGGACCTTGTGAAGGAGGAGAGAGAAGTAAAGATTTGGGTGGTTTAGGAATGCAATTTCAGAACTTAGGATCAAGGCAGCTCAATACAAATGACAGAGCGATGATACCAGGGATATGGAAGAGACCACAATTACAGCAGTTAATGTAGGTCAGAGAGACACGGGGAGAGAGACAGAGAGAGAGAGATCTGGGAGCTAATGTAGATCAGAGGGTACAGAGGGAGAGAGAGAGAGAGCTGGGGGCTAATGTAGATCAGAGAGAGAGAGAGAGCTGTGGGCTAATGTAGGTCAGAGAGAGAGAGCAGGGGGCTAATGTAGGTCAGAGAGATACAGAGAGAGAGCGAGAACGGGAGCTAATGTAGGTCAGAGAGACACAGAGAGAGAGAGCTGGGGTCTATTGTAGGTCAGAGAGACACAGAGAGAGAGAGAGCTGGGTGCTATTGTAGGTCAGAGAGACAGAGAGAGAGAGAGCTGGGTGCTATTGTAGGTCAGAGAGACACAGAGAGAGAGAGCTGGGGGCTATTGTAGGTCAGAGAGACAGAGAGAGAGAGAGCTGGGTGCTATTGTAGGTCAGAGAGACACAGACAGAGAGAGCTGGGGGCTGTGGTAGGTCAGAGAGACACAGAGAGAAAGAGAGAGAGAGAGAGCTCGGGGCTAACGTAGGTCAGAGTGCACTGACAGAGAGAGCTGGGAGCTAGCGTAGGTCAGAATGACAGTTGGGAGCCAACATAGGTCAGAGAGTGCAGAAAGTGGTGGTGCATGGACAACAGTTTGGTCAGGAGATGAGCAGCAGAGTTCAGTATGAGTGAGTTTACAGTGGCTGACAGGAGACCATTGGAATAGTCACTCTTTGAGGATAGTTCGGGAACACAATCTTGTTCTCCACCCAAATATATACACTCTACAAATAACCGCCACCTACCAAGGGTAATGGCTTTCAGCCATACAACCGTGAGCATTTATTACTGTTCTATCTAGAGAACCACACTGTGTCTGAAGATGCTGTAATTAAACCTTGAAGCACCCAGCTCCCAGGAACTGATGCCGCTGTTTATTTTCACCCTTCAGCGACAACCTGCTGCAGTACCTCAGCGTGATAGTCTTATCACCAGAGTTCAGACCCTGGGAGGTGGCCAGCACCAGAGATCGCCTGAAAGTAGAGAAAGAGATAGCATACCATCGACCACAGATAAGTGAGTCAAAGTGATTGGGCAGCGAGCTGGAGAGTTTCTGTTTGGGAATAGTTCAGAATGACAATGGGCCAAGGAACTGAAAGTATCTTAGACTGCAAACATTCACCTTTAGATGTTGGCCTCAAGGGTGGGCACAAATAGGAAATATTGCCATGGTATTGTTTTTTGTTTCTTTATTCTTTCCTGGGATGTGGGCATCTCTTGCACGACCAGCATTTGAGTTCTGAGGAAGGGTCACTGGACCCGATACGTTAACTCTGTTTTTTCCTTCACAGATGCTGCCAGACCTGCTGAGCTTTTCCAGCAACTTTGTTTTTTGTTCCTGATTTACAGCATCCGCAGTTCTTTTGGTTTTTATTTGTTATCCATCCCTAACTGCCCTTGACCTGAGTCCAGGCAAAGCCAACCCACTTTTTCACATTTCACACCTATTATTAACACCTAGTTTTCATTTAACATATCTCCCATACAACCATTACCAGTCTTCTTGTTCCTTGTTATGGCCACCCTCTCCATCTGTTCCACTCGCCCCTTCTCCCCATCTGTCAACAACGTTAAAAACCATCATTTTCTCGTCCCCTTCAGTTCCCACCCGAAACGTTAACTTTGTTTCTGTCACCACAGATACTGCCAGACCTGCTGAGTTTCTCCAGCACCTTTCTGTGTTTTTTTAAATTTTACATTGCCGTGGGTCTGGAGTCACATGTCGGCCAGACCAGGTAAAAATGGCAGATTTGCCTCCCTGAAGGGTATTGGTGAACCAGATCATTTATAGTTATCATGGTAAAGATGTATTTTTATTTTATTTTAATATCTGGAAGTGTTATCACACTCAACTGAACAACTTTCCTGCCACCAAATCACTGTGACTTCTTCTGTTCGTTTTTAACTAATAACCACCACCCAGTAAATCAACTGTGCAGCCGATTAAAAGTTCTCATGCAAAGCTTGTTACGAACAATGCAAACTGTCAGAAGTGGGGAAGGAAAGGAGAGTGGGAAGAGACTAAATCAGAACGGAGTTGGAGAGGGAAATGAAACACAGTAACCCCCACAGTGCCCACCTCTTTCTAAAGGCATTGATGGTCACCTCTTGCTCTGTCTCCAAGGACACCCAGATGTGAGCATAACCATGGAAGAGGGACAGGCAGTCAGCAGATATGATCCCAGCTTGGCTTTTTAGCATTCTAGATTTATTCATTGAATAAATTCCAGCTGCTGTTGTGGGATTTGAACGCATATCCCTGACACATCAGGATTATGAGCCCAGTACGTTCCCATTATCTCTCCCTTTCCACCTGTGAGTTCACTGTGGTTTTGTCATGGGAAAGGAGGATTGGGAAGTTAGGCCTCTCTGTTCAAGGCTGATGTGAACTCAGTTTGATAGATGGAGCGCTTTTTAAAAAAACGA